GTTCAGGCATTGGCATTGATCTTCGTCAAGGCTGCGTTCTGTCCCTCTACTATTTCTGTTTCACATAGATAAAATAGTCAGATACAGACAGAACGATGGGTGCCTCAGCGTAGAAGATATCAAGACAACGAAGTTGCTGTCTGCAAATGACCTTGTTTTGTTGACATCTTCTGAAAAGGTTCGCAGCCGTGTGCGTTTGAAGCTATTTACATTCAAAGTAGTGGGTTAAGTCTTCGTAGATTTTCATTCCTCCTGCCCGCTTGCAAACTACAGATAAACGGATGAAAAGTGGAACAAGTAGAGAAATTCGGATTGCTGATGCTCGTGTTTCCTGGTGATGGAAAACTGGAGCAGATCGACAAAAGAATATGAATGGTCAGCGGCGTTCTGCCAGCAAATTTGCGACTAAAACTGAGCTGAGTCTGAAGACTAAGCTGTCGGTGTTCAAGTCGATCTTCATCCCCATGCTCAGCAAAGATCATAAGTCGTGGGCAATGACAGAAAAACGTCAATCCCGTGTACAAGCGGCTGAAAATGGTTTCTAAGACAAATCGTTGGGTTCAAAGGTTTCGACGTGATCGAAGTACAAATATCTTAGAAGATCTTGGTGTACGGCCGCTATATGTCCAGATTGAGAAGTCACAGGTGTGGTAGTTTGGACACGATTTGTGAATGCCTCCAGAAAATAAGCCGAAGCAACAAGTACACACCCAACTGACAGGTCGACAAGTGCCTGGACAGTCTCTGCTATGTACTAGGATTATCTTCCGTTGAAGGTCAACTGATAACAGAGGATCTGAAACGTTAGAGACACTGTTTGACACGTCGGTCAAATTGACCTAATAGGACAACAGATAATCGAAACTGAATTGCCTATTTAAATCATGATGCAAACTCTGGCACTTAAAGACACCGGCAAACGAAGCTAAGGCATAAAAGCAGCAATTCGAAAAGTCACCAGCTCATTCGAAACAAGTGCTTGATATTCTCGATGGGAAAATGAATGTCAGTTGAAGGCGGAGAATAGGTTCATTAGAAGTCGCAATTATTTACTCTTTCCACTGAACAGTTTAATAAGTGGCCTTGTAGTTGTAACTGTACTTAAATCTCGAATTCTCTTAGTGTAATGTCACTTCTCTCTTTCTAGAGAGGAACTTGATTCAGTAACGTTGAATTCTGGGCTACTGTTCACTAGATATATTCTGAGTGGATGTGAGTCATTTATAAACTACATGATCGGTTCGCTACAAACTGCTGTCACTAAAATTACTTATGACTGCTATCATTATCACTACTATACATTTTTGTTACCTGATTGTTTGTTGAAAATGTTGCTTATTAGTGATTCAACTCAAAAATGAAAATACAGAACAATACATGGTAGTTACAGCGGCGATGGTTTGGGCACGTGTTGCGAATGCTTACAGAAAAGAAGGCGAATCAACAATTTTTTGCCCAGCTGACTAGCAGAAAGTGCATGGGACGGATTAACGTGGTACAAATATATGGAAGAAGTTGCTATAGACTCTGGTTTCCTTCTGCCGAAGCTCAGACTCTAGCACAGGACCAGGAACTTTTGAAGCACCGTCTGACGTGGCTGCCTCCGTGACCCGAAAGGAAAAGCAGTCATGGACGATGAAGATGAAGAAAAAGCAAAATAAAGCTACATCATGATAGTGAAAGCTTGAATTCACACAATTACTCCTACAACGCAAAATCAAAACAACGCTACTCCAATGCCAAGTACAAATTTCTGACAAAACCGCAACCATCGTGGCATCAGCAAGCACATAACTCCGGCAAAGAGTTTCATGGAGAACGAAACAGTCACCTCTCTTTGACGTCTAGTTGGTTATTTAAACACGCGATGGCTTCATGATAGCTTAACACCTACAGTTAATAATACATTCGTAACATTCCATTCGCTATGGTAGTACCATGGTCA